ACGCGTGGATATTCAACGCGTAGTAGTCCAACGCGTTGCACTACTACGCAGCTATTAGCAAACACAAGTACATACTTGATACTTTATTCAGTTATTTACTTTGTATGAAAAGAGGTATACCGGTACATTCGTTCACTTTTTTTTAACAATCAATAAAAATCTACTGGATCACAATTAGACATGCTCGTCACTATACACGATACTAGTACAGCAAATATAAGTACTCGATACTTTATTCAGTTATTTACTGGGTAAAGAGATATACCAGTACATGTGTTGATTTCGACAATCAATCCACTGGATTACACAATTAGAAACATGCTCGTATTTGTTCATTAATAATCAATAGAAATCCACTGGAGAATTAGAAACAAACTGCCAGACGTTCGAAGCTGTTCAATTAGCACAGAAATAACATAGAAAAGCCAACATAAAAGAAACGTGAATCGGAAAAGAAAAAAGCGTAAAGCAGAGATTAGCGTGATTGACTGGTTGGTCGCAGGCCGTTTTTCTTCCCTTGGTTGTCTACCTACAAAAGCAAGAAGCTACCAGTCAGTTTTAGACACGTGAAACGTATAATCGTCGTATACATACACGTAGCCACAGTTAACCTGTGATTAACATAATTTATTGCGAGAATGTTTACAGTGACTCGTGCGTTCTTCGGACAGATGCAACATTTACATAGTACTGCAACTGTGTACTTACAATATTTATCGTTAATAATTAAGTTATAATTTTTAATATTTTTCGTTGACAAAATTATATTGTTTCTTTATTATAAATATATTTTATTGTATTGTGTCTATAAATGTGTCTATATCAATTTTAAATTCAGGAAGAGTGTGATGTTATTCGATGAGTTACTTAAAAGAACCATAATTGAACTGGTGTCAAAGGACTGGTGTAACATAAAAGTCATATGGCCACATGTACGTATATAAGTATAAATGAAGGAGGTAATTTTGACATTTGTTGAAGTCCGTCTCGTTGAATCGTCGACCATCCATCTGTTGAAGGAAGAAGCTGAACTTACCCTAACCGCTGTTGGATCGTTGCTATAGTCCACCGGTTGACAGCGGAAACTATAATGGCCCCACCATCCTCCCATCAGGCTCTGTCGTTTTTTGTTATTTGTTTTGTACAAAATTAACCACGTTTTATACATTCTTTATGTCTAATGAAAACTTACGAGTTTGGAATACTTTGAGAAATTTACCGTCCCTCCTTACCTTCGATTTTCGCGTTAAGTACCGATTAATTCATTTTAACACGTTCCGATCATTATTTATGTGTGGGGTATTAACCTTTTCACTACAGATCTAGTCAAATATGTACTTTCACGGGTCAATCTTAATAGAGAAAATTTAAATTAAATTTAAGCTTAAATTTTTTTACCAAAAGAACTTTTCATGTCTGTCGTAAGGTGCATTATGAATTGTTTATTAAAATTGTAGCAAAATAGGGTGGTTAAGATGAACCGCGCCTCCTATCGTACTGGATAGGAGGCGCACTGTATGTGGTATTTGAATTGCGCGCGCAAGAGGAGTCACGTGACGTCCAGCGCCACTTTTGCTTTGGTCACCGAGTATAATAGATTAGAAATGATTTTACTCATAATACAACTAAACAAACTTTCATATCAGTCTCATAACGTAATATAAAATACAAGAAACTAGATATATAGATATATTCTGTTCTAACAAAAATAAAAATGAATGCAAAATTTAAGCGAGTGAAGTTTAAGTTTAGGGTGACTATATTCTTGATAGCGAAAAGGTTAAAAAATAATAGACCGAGAATGAACTTGTTTGTTCAATAAATACATCACAAACACGAAACTCCAAATACCATTTTCCAAATGATTTGTATAATAGAAACAAAAACGGATTAATCGGTGACGTCATCTACAGTGTCTAAATGACACCAGGTCTGTTCCTGATTTACATCGGACGGTACATATCAGATACATGCAATAGACTCGTACAGACAGTATGCAAGAGCATACTTGATAAACAAACATGTAAGAGCAGAAGGCAGAAAGGGAAAGAAAACGGAAGAAGACGTAGAGAAGCGGGACATGCAATCGAGACGGGGTTGTTACCTCGTAGAACAGCCACGCTGAAAACACCATTTGGAATAGATTGTAGACTATCAGAGCGTTCTTTAATTGGAACGGCTTCCTGTTCTCCATCAATTTAGGGCCTAGAACTTTGACCACGTACACGTAGGTCAGACATATGAACAGAGTGGGGAATGGTGAACTCATCAGGAACCAATTCGTTGTCCTCTGATCTGAAATGCAATTTATTTTATTTAATATGAATTGTTGAAGATATAGGTTGTAGTGTTTGGACTGACATGATACACTGATGTGTCTGAGGACACTTGTGTCTCTTTTTAAGGAATAAAATACTTCATGTACATACATTACTTTTGCTTGTGAATTAGTGTAGTGGATTACTCTTAAATAAATTTAGTTGTTGAAGAAAGCAAAGACGTGTACATACATCATATTTGCTTGTGATTTACTATAAGTGAATTACTCTTAAATTAATTTAGTTGTTGAAAAAAGCAAAGATGTGTACATACATCATATTGGCTTGTGATATACTATAATGGACTACTTTTAAATTAATTTAGTTGTCGAAGAAAGCAAAGACATGTACATACATCATATTGGCTTGTGATATACTATAATGGACTACTTTTAAATTAATTTAGTTGTCGAAGAAAGCAAAGACATGTACATACATCATATTGGCTTGTGATATACTATAATGGACTACTTTTAAATTAATTTAGTTGTCGAAGAAAGCAAAGACATGTACATACATCATATTGGCTTGTGATATACTATAATGGACTACTTTTAAATTAATTTAGTTGTCGAAGAAAGCAAAGACATGTACATACATCATATTGGCTTGTGATATACTATAATGGACTACTTTTAAATTAATTTAGTTGTCGAAGAAAGCAAAGACATGTACATACATCATATTGGCTTGTGATATACTATAATGGACTACTTTTAAATTAATTTAGTTGTCGAAGAAAGCAAAGACATGTACATACATCATATTGGCTTGTGATATACTATAATGGACTACTTTTAAATTAATTTAGTTGTCGAAGAAAGCAAAGACATGTACATACATCATATTGGCTTGTGATATACTATAATGGACTACTTTTAAATTAATTTAGTTGTCGAAGAAAGCAAAGACATGTACATACATCATATTGGCTTGTGATATACTATAATGGACTACTTTTAAATTAATTTAGTTGTCGAAGGAAGCAAAGACATGTACATACATCATATTGGCTTGTGATCTACTATAGTGAACTACACTTAAATTAATTTAGTTGTCGAAGAAAGCAAAGACATATACATACATCATATTGGCTTGTGATATTCTATAATGGACTACTCTTAAATTAATTTAGTTGTCGAAGGAAGCAAAAACATGTACATACATCATATTGGCTTGTGATATACTATAATGGACTACTTTTAAATTAATTTAGTTGTCGAAGAAAGCAAAGACATGTACATACATCATATTAGCTTGTGATATACTATAATGGACTACTCTTAAATTAATTTAGTTGTCGAAGAAAGCAAAGACATGTATATACATCATATTGGCTTATGATCTACTATAGTGAATTACACAAAGTCAGTCAGTAAGTATTATTACTTTAAAATGTTACACAATTATAATGTAAGAATGGAGAATTTTTTAAAATGGCAATCTATTTTGGTGAATCAATTTCCTTCTTCTCTAAAATGTACCAGTGTGGAGTATGAACAATTTATACATAATACATGTACAAATTTTTCATTCATAATAAGCAGCAAATAAAAGAAAATATATTCAACCAAAATTATTTATAAGATCCAAGAAACTGATAGATACAGTGTTAGTTTATAAAATAATGTAATGGAGCTTGTAATAATTCATACATGTACACATTTTTCATTTATAAGTAACAAATAAATCAAAACATATTTAACTAAAATTATTTATAAGATTAGCTAGTATTAAACATTCTTTCGACTCCGAACTGAGCATTTACTCAGAATCTACTGTATCTGCTCCCAGTCGGTAAAAGTGTAATAACCTCGACCTTGAGATTTCCTCGCGTGACACATCCTGCTTTACCCTTCTCGTCCTTCGGAAGTTCAATCAACTACCGCGTCATTTACGTTGAAACCAGTCGTCAAATTTGTTTCATTAACCGGTCCTTGGTCGAGCGACCTTGGTGCGCGCTCGAGGCTGCTCGTGAATCATGAAAACCGATCAAAAACGAAAGCCTTTCCGATTCTCAGCTTCCACGTAGCGATGTCTACAACTGGAAGATTCAGGAATAAAGTTTCGTACGGCTGCGCGATATGAATTATTCATTCTCGATGGAGCTACCGTCACACCGGGACGGATGATGTTTATCTGCTGTTTCGTGTAATTCCAGCCTTATTTTTCGTGCTTGTGCGTTCATCGAAATCTCCAGATGCTTGCATTATTTTTATAACAGGATTGTGCTTGTGGACGTTGTTATATTGATGGAAACGAGAATAGATTACTTGAAATAAGATTAGGATGAAGTTCAAGTTCTAGTTATATTTCTGCATTAGAATAAAGGGTGGACATTTGAAGTTTGAATAACTTATTGTCTGAATAAATTAGTCATTTGAATTACTTGTTGAGACACTTGTTGAATAACTTATTGTTGATAGGAAAGAAGACCAAAATTATTTGGTATGAGGGTGATCATCCTAAGCAATTTACTTTGAGAAAATGGTAAAGACTGATGGTAATATTCGTATCAGCAACAGCAGCCAAGTTCAGGTAGCCTTTAGATGCCTCACATATTGACCTGTTTCACATACAAGACCTGTATAGTCTTTCACAAGTATTTGTATATTCCACAAGTCTATTAGTGGACAATTTACACTCCGTTTTGAAGCAATCATAAATATTCACTACTTATTGACCTATGCAGCAGGTAAACACTTTTCAATTTGAGCTGTTCAATGTCCAAAAATAAACAGGCTGCGCAATTCCTCTGTTTCCAGAAAAAATAAAGATGAACCTGTCTGGTGGAAATAGCTGTACCAGGAATTCTAAAAATTCTGAAATTTTTTATTACCATGAACTGTCATACCATATCATGGACTTATCTCGACGACGTCAATTTGGATGTTAATTTGTACTGCTTGAAAATGAATTCGGTATGAATTATCTAACGAATAGGAATTGAACGCACAGTTGTAAAGAATATAGGAATTTTTGACTTGGAAGCTTGGAAAAGAAATAAGCGGTGAAAGTTAAGATTACGAAAGAACGATTAGCCTATTCGGATTAATCCTGGTGAGCTGACTCCAAAAGTCATAAAAGTTTCTTCTGACGGGAATTGATATGAAGAGGATTGTTTCTGACCATTTTACGTACACTGAAAGGAAGCGTTTGTGCTCTGATTGCGCTATTACGAACGTGTTTGTATTATTTTTTAGAAGATCTTTTTCGCAAGGTCATGGTTGTGCAACCTTGGCGAAATCTTCATGCGAAAACATCTGTATGAGATACAATCTTCACAAGCTTCCAGACGGTTCTACAAAATATCCATGGAATTTTATGATTCAAGATTTTGCAGCCTGCGGAGTCAAAATTGAGGAAACACACTTTTATCCTAAAAATTATATCAAGTTTGCAAATGCGACTTTTTGTGTTGCAGTTTTATATTCTGTTATGCATTTTTCCCGACAAAGAAGTTATTGTGATCCACGTGTTTTTTCTTTCATTAAATTTATTTCGGAAATTGTCGGATGTGCACAGTTATTTATAAATTTGTTGATCGAAGGTTTCGATTAATATACAATTGCAAAATGTCTCGTTGAAAATCATTGTTTGTCAACACTGAAACAAATGCTTTCCTCACGGAAATCTTGAGATTCCATAACAAGTAAAAATTCAAACAAAAATAGCGTAATGAGGCAAAATATTGTCGTGACACTACAATAACAAAGATTATTTTACTTCGGTCAGTTCATACATACATATTCTTCAAATATATTTTCTAGAGCAATCATTTTGGTATATTCTTCTCTTTCACAACTTTTCAACGTCGTAAAATTGATCAAAATACTTCGAAAGACAATACAGAAAATTGATTACAAATGTATTCCAAATTATTAGAGATTGACATGAAAGTAGTTTTGCTCGATTTAAATTTCCCGCTCGTTTATACGATCAATTTAAAGGGGCAGTTTTCAAGAGATCAAAGGTTTACTGGTCTGTACAATAATCTATACATATCTGTACAATTGCTATATTATTTCAAGCTCCATTAATATTCAAACACATCCGATATCATTTGAATACAAACCCAAATAAACCCAGAATAAATATTCCAAATTATTAGAGATTGACATGAAAGTAGTTTTGCTCGATTTAAATTTCCCGCTCGATTGTACGACCAATTTAAAGGTACAGTTTTCGAGAGATCAAAGGTGCCGACAGAAAGTGTGGCCTCTGGTTTACCGGTCTGTACAATAATCTGTACATATCTGTACAATTGCTGTATTATTTCAAGCTCCATTAATATTCAAAGACAATATTAGTAATATACAGAAAATTGATTACAAATGTATTCCAAATTATTAGAGATTGAAATGAAAGTAGTTTTGCTCGATTTAAATTTCCCGCTCGATTGTACGAACAATTTAAAGAGACAGTTTTCGAGAGATCGTGCCTACCAAAGGTGCCTCTGGTTTACTGATCTGTACAATAATCTATACATATCTGTACAATTGCTGTATTATTTCAAGCTCCATTAATATTCAAACACATCCGATATCATTTGAATACAAACCCAAATAAACCCAGAATAAATAACCCAGAGGGTTAAAATCCGCCCACGATACAAATTTAACTCGAGTAATAAAGGTACGAGTAGTAAAGATACAAATACAGGTGGAGTTGTCTGATTTATAAGCTTACCTGCATTTTTGTCGAGTATCTCGTGGAGCCGGTCCACGTACTGCATTATAATCGACATCTTTCTTCCTTGTCCCGCAGGGATCCTCCGTAAAATTTATTCGTGGCGAATAAATCAATGGCAACGCAACTTTTCACCGACGGACTCGCGTGTTCCTGGAACATCCAAAAGGAGAAAGAGGTTATCATAAGATACAATGACGAAGGTCAATTATGAAAGTATATTAAAGATAAAAAAAACAAAATGGACAACGTTATTCGTGGCCTTGTACGAAAGATCCTCGAAAGACGTCAGGTTGCTAACTTGATCTGTTTGAAAGATACACCTAACCTTCAATTTCAATGAAATTGAACGTTAAAAAAATGACTTGCAACTGGTACTCCGAGGACAACCAGTCTATTTAATTTTTCTTTCGGTTATTTAACTAGTTTTCAAAGAAAATAATAAGTGTAGAGTATTTTAAAATGTAGTAGTTCTCGAATAAAATTATAAGTGTACAGAATTTTAAAATATTTGTAATGTATCTTTCAGTGGATGTCACAGAAAGTTGTTGTTTAAAGCACAGGGTGAAATGCAAGATATTAACATGTGTTAATGTTATGTACAGTAGTGGTATCATGTTAGCTAATAAATTATATAATTACAATTTGAACGGGTCTTTTAATTTCATGGAAAATATGTAAAGTGCTGAAAATGTGGTCGTAATTCGATGACCAAGGTCGAGGATTTCACTGAAAGTTTCTGTAGACATCACAGGGTTGAAATACAAGCTATTAACATGCGTTAATGTTATGTACAGTAGTAGTATCATGCTAGCTAATAAATTATATAATTACAATTTGAACGGGTCTTTTAATTTCATGGAAAATATGTAAAGTGCTGAAAATGTGGTCGTAATTCGATGACCAAGGACAAGGATTTCACTGAAAGTTTCTGCAGACAGCACAGGGTTGAAATACAAGATATTAACACGTGTTAATGTTATGTATTAATGTTAGCAGTAATATCATGTGTAGCTAATAAATTAATTACAATTTGAACAACCCTTTCCACAAAAAAAGTCTAAAATTCTGAAAGTGTATAGTAGTCCTAACTTGATGACCAGGTAGCTGTAATACCATTCTAAACCGCCAGTTTTTTCAAGTTTTTCTTTTTGCTACCTCGAACGAGGGCAGATTACCTAACACCAGCTGATCGACCGGTTACATAAAATATGTCCGATCCGTGTCATGATTTTCGGTATGGCTATTGAATTAGAAGCGATTTCGCGCGCGCCACCCAAAATCGGTCCGATCCGAAATTCACCTCGTACTTTCGCTTACGAAAGTGGCTACACAGTTTTTGTTATGGGTTACACGGACAAAACTCGCGCAACTTATGGGCCGACCATGAATCGTCACGGCCTTGAACCATCACGGACTATTATTACCTTCAAATGATCAGCGTTCGAATTTCACTTGTCAAACCCTTTCGAGCCCTAGGCGATGAAACTTATTTTGTAGGCAATTTTTCTTAAAATATAACAACACATTATTTTCCATTTTCTGTCTTGTAGCAATGACACCCAACTGTAACTCCTAACTTTAAAATTACTAAATTGATCAAATGACTGCTTTGCAAGTTTATTATTAATTGTTTAATCACCTAATAAATTTTTTATTAGGCAATATTATTTTCTCAAAATATAATAACACAAAATTTTGCCTCCATTTTCAGCCTTGTAGCAGTGACCCTATCAACTCATAGCAGACACCCTATCAACTGTAACCTCTAACTCTAAAACTACCAAGCTGGTCAAATGACTGCTCTGCAAGCTTATTATTAATTGTTTAATCACGTAATAAATTTTTTGGTAGGCAATATTATTTTCTCAAAATATAGCAACACAAAATTTTGCCTCCATTTTCAGCCTTGTAGCAGTGACCCTATCAACTCATAGCAGACACCCTATCAACTGTAACCCCTAACTCTAAAATTACTAAACTGATCAAATGACTGCTCTGCAAGTTTATTATTAATTGTTTAATCACCTAACAAATTTGTTAGTAGGCAATATTATTTTCTCAAAATATAATAACACAAAATTTTGCCTCCATTTTCAGCCTTGTAGCAGTGACCCTATCAACTCATAGCAGACACCCTATCAACTGTAACCTCTAACTCTAAAACTACTAAATTGATCAAATGATTGCTCCACAAGTTTCCTATTAATTGTTTTAATTAACAAACGAATGGCTTTTGCAATAATTTTTAGCGAGAGGTAGTCCTAGGTCTCAGATCCAGTTACATCAATAACCACCATTAGTTAACGATTTCAAGGACTGGTATAAAAAGCAGAAAAAAGACGAAACTAGATAATTGCTTAGTTCCACGCCGCGAGTGCCGACCGCTAATTAATTACGTCCCTGAAGCCGACTGGCCAGAAATAGGTACAGAATGGTGTGAGAAAAGATATCCTCGTTATATTACAAATACAACCAAAGAAACAAAGGAATAATCATAATTAGTTTCATTCGCTAATAATTCCTAGTCTATCTCATTGATAGACAAATGAAAAAGACGTTCATCTATGCAGTTTTACAAAAACAACGTTTTTCAAGATGTGTTAAAAAATAAATATACATAAAATGTACATGAAAATCTAATCAAAAGGTGGATAGTTTTTAACCCACCTAAACTTAAAACTTAAAACACAAAAATAAAGGGTTGACACATTGCACTCAAAGGTATTTTTGCTGCTTTTTAATTGATAAATTCTTCTGGAGTTCTATCACTAAAAAATTGTCGGGTCAGATGGCGACGGTGTGACCGGCACCTAGCGCCCTTACGCCCCGCATTAGCTGCGAAGCGCCGGCCCTGCTCACTCGATAGACGATGGTTTGGTAACCCGTTGAATTTCGCTTTCAATACAACTCGGTCGACGAGAGAATTCTCGCCAAGGCCAATCGACAACGGACTTGAATGGATGTCGTCATTTATCATCGGCCAGCCGGTCACCGATTTGTACACGGACGCGGAGTCTAGCTCCTGTCGCTCTACCGTGTACACCCTTTTCCAAAACACTTGTTCACCATCTCAAAAATATCTACAATCGAAGGGCGTTAAGGGTATACAGACGATGGCTACAATTTTTATATCCTTACAAGAGTATTTTTGTAAGACTGGAAGCTTTTGGATGATCTTTTAGCTGGAAGGATTACGGTTGTTTTAGGAAATTTTAACTATGGTCATCACCCTACTTGAATGTGGATTATGCGTTAGAACACAATGTCGATTATATTCTCAGGTGTGTCTTGTTGGTCCATAGTGGTTGATTATAATGCATATGAAGGTTATGGTTCGTTATGGATCATGGAATGTTAACTTTATCCTACCGTGTCCACAAATATCTACATATGACGAGATAGGTACATATGACTTTAGGGATGATCTTCCTAGAAAAACAAACGACTTGATTTGGTGCAATTCATTTGAGAATCTGTAACAATTATATACACATATCCTAAAAGAATTTTTAGTATGATTTGGTCAATGAATGTAAAACTACATATCCACATATATGTAACCCATGAAAAAATTATTTTGATGAAGAATGTATCAACAGTTAGTATAACTCACTTCAGAATCTGTAACAATTATATAAGAAATCCTAAAAAAATTTTTAATATGATTTAGTCAAGCTAAACATCCACATATATGAAGAAATTATTTTGATTAAAAATGCATCAACAGTCTATAACATTCTGTGACTTCCACTTCTCCAACCCTTTTAATTTTACCGCCATTTCAACCCCCACATAAATTGAGCGTAGACTGCTACGAGTTTCGTGAGGTCTTACGAGACACTTAATTAGGAAATCGTTTTATCCGCGACAGATCGCGATACTCTGATCGTGGTCGCTTGCAAAACGAAAAGTCGAAAACGCGCCGAGCAAGCGAAATACCTGGAGAAATATATTGCGAAAACTGTATACATTATAATGGGCCGGGCGCAGAAAACGGGCCACAACACTCGTGTAGCCAGTGCGCGCGAGTTACGCAAGGAAGCGGTTGCCTCTTGGTATATACGCGTGCCCGCGTCGAAGCTGTGTCTCGACGCTGGAATCGTCATTAACGATAGGATGAACAAACCACTGACCTCAATATGCACGGGCTAAATGTTTCGATTCATTGGCAACAAACGACGCGACATGCTACGCACAACGTTGCAAATTAATGTTGCTTGCTAGGTCGATAACGATACACCTAAACAAGGTGTTTCACTCTGATCACTGTGCTGGGATCTGGACTTCTTCAGAGGGAACGATTTTCAAGATAATCGAGATAGTGCTTTGAGACAATGTTTCGAGATAATTGTAAAATAAGATGATATTGAAATTATTTATTAACCCTTCGTACTTTGACGAGTCACTCGTGACGCACTCACAACTCGAATATAACAAATCGTACTCAAATTTTTAATACTCTTCAATTTAAAATTTAGATTCAATTACAATTTGCGTTATCAAGGATCGCTGAGTATAAAATATTTACAACATTTTAATTTTTATTTGTTTAAACATTATAGCTGTGAATAGTTAATTTTTACTGACGCACCTGACAAATAAATTGTGAAAGGGGTTAACAGAATTTGATATTATTTAATAATTTTACAGGAATCATTTTACTAAATTTTAGAAGATTTTTAAAATTTGCATTTACTGATTTAATTCTGAGTACTTATTGATCTTTATTGATTTATCATAGCGACATATTTGTGTATAGAAGTTGTGAATTGTGAAGTTGAATTTGTATGTGGAAAGATAAGTGTAGCAAATGGACTGTACCTATATATCTATGTAGTAGTGTCATTTAAATAGTCACTTTTGGAATCATGTCATGTAAAATGATCGATACAAGGGATATTGTGACACCGGTACAAAGTAATTACACAACCACGCGTGACCCATTATGCTAGACTGTTAATTACTGAAAGGTGTTTAGTCTCGTCAAGGTTGAGGATTGTAGATAAGTAAAAGGTACATGAAACGAAAACAATGACGTTCGCGACATTGGACAAATAAACTGAAAGAAATATGATCAAGTTTATTTGTGGGGGAATAATTTGAATGTTACGCTGAATTTCGTATTGTGGCATTTTGAAATTGCTTTGGTG